TGATGAAGGATGGTGTGATAGCAGAGAAGGGTGAACACAGTCAGCTGTAAAATCTGTTCTTTCCCTGCAGTACCTGCACCTGTGTGACCAGGTTATCCTGATGAAGGATGGTGTGATAGCAGAGAAGGGTGAACACAGCAGCTGTAAAATCTGTTCTTTCCCTGCAGTACCTGCACCTGTGTGACCAGGTTGTCCTGATGAAGGATGGTGTGATAGCAGAGAAGGGTGAACACAGTCAGCTGATGGCAGCAGGTGAAGACTATGCCAGGATGATACAGGGTTACATGACATCACACTGTGCTGAGGAGACAGAGGAAGAGGATCAGCCTGGTAACATGGAGGAAAATAATTTCATGTAAGAGATAGGAGTTAAACCAAAGGGAAGCAAATAAACTCATTATGATTCTTCCACACCAGCTTGATGTGCATTAAAACATAGACTACAGACAGCATAAATATATTTGGCCAATATTTGTAACATCTGGTGTCTTAGTGTCTCTTTTGTGCAGGACAAATGACTTTTTTTATGTTGTACCTTGGCCATGATAATGTTTGATACATGTGTTCTGAATGGGGTGATAAAGTTGAATATACCCAGGCTTTTAACAGTTATCACATGGGCTTTAAAAAGTCCCATTATCATGATAGAATAGTTTGAATACATTTTGCATATGCCACTTTTGATAAATTCTGGATTTAGACTTAAGAATTGTTACAATTTATTATTTTCTGAGGACACCAAATTCTCTCAACTTTTGGCACATTTTGCATTGAAATATGTGCTTTCGCAGGTGGGTACGATAAATAAAATACAACACAGTGTATACTGCATCACTCTGTGTCCCAGCTATCCTGCAAGTACCTAGGTTGATATGGAATACATCATGCTGCATTCTCTATATATATTACTGTTGGTAGGAGACAGCAGTCCAAGGATACTGGACAACAGAACTGCCAGTCCAATGTGGGTTCTGCTAGCAGTGTTGCTGAATACGAGATCAACAACAAGACAGAAAAACAGGATGTGAAAGAAGACTTGTCAGGTAAACATCATGTATAAACTAAGGTATAATCTGACGATCAGCACCAAAGATAGATATGCTTTTAAGATAGATTTTGATGGTGTTCAGCACCAAGGACAGATAGGCCTGTACCATAGATTTGGATGGTGTTCAGCACCAAGGACAGATAGGCCTGTACCATAGATTTGGATGGTGTTCAACACCAAGGACAGATAGGCCTGTACCATAGATTTGGAAAGTGTTCAGCAGCAAAGACAGGTATGCCTGTACCAAAGATTTGGACGGTGTTCAGCTCCAAGTACAGATAGGCCTGTACCATAAATTTGAAAAGTGTTCAGCCCCAAGAACAGATAGGCATATACCATAAATTTGGAAAGTGTTCAGCACCAAGGACAGATAGGCATGTACCATAGATTTGGAAAGTGTTCAGCACCAAGAACAGATAGGCCTGTACCATAGATTTGGAAAGTGTTCAGCACCAAGAACAGATAGGCCTGTACCATAGATTTGGATGGTGTTTAGCACCAAGGACAAGTAGGCCTGTACCGTAGATTTGGATGGTGTTGAACACCAAGGACAGATAGGACTGTACCATAGATTTGGATGGTGTTCAGCACCAAAGACAGATAGTCTTGTACCATAGATTTGGATGGTGTTGAACACCAAGGACAAGTAGGCCTGTACCATAGATTTGGATGGTGTTGAACACCAAGGACAGATAGGCCTGTACCATAGATTTGGATGGTGTTGAACACCAAGGACAGATAGGACTGTACCATAGATTTGGATGGTGTTCAGCACCAAGGACAGATAGGCCTGTACCATAGATTTGTAATGTGTTCAGCACCAAGTACTAGTACAGATAGGCCTGTACCATAGATTTTGATGGTGTTCAGCACCAAGGATAGATAGGACTGTACCATAGATTTGGATGGTGTTCAGCACCAAAGACAGATAGGCCTGTACCATATATTTTGATGGTGTTCAGCACCAAGGACATGTACCATAAGTGCAACTTTTTCATTAATAAACAGCATAGGTGCATGATATTAACTGATGATTATTATTTGCATGCTTGTGACAGTTTTTGTGTGCCCAGAAGATGTCATCCATATAAGCAAGTCAGTATGGCCAAATGGAAAATACTCCTATTGAATTTGTTGAACACAATGCAAGTACACATAGTACATGTATTATTTGATGTCACCATACAGGCAATCTGATAAAACAAGAGGAGGTTGAGAGTGGGAGTATTGGATGGGCAACATATTGCGAGTACTTCAGATCAGGAGGAGGTTACGTGTTATCTGTGCTGGTGCTTCTGACTTTTGTTCTACTAGAGGGAGGAATGGCCTTCAGCAACTTCTGGCTCAGCATTTGGCTGAAACAAGGCAGTGGGGTGAGCATAATATTTTTGTTTTCATTTTTGACTTTCAAATTGCCACAGAAACAAGAAATCAGAGATTTTAGCAGACCTCTGGGAAGTAGTTTGCATTCAAAGAAGGGCCCCTAGCAGCTTGTTCTGGAACAGATGTTCACAGATCATGACTTTTGGCATGAACTAGGTAGAAAAAGCGATGTTTGACATGAATTGCTGACAATTCTGCAAATTAGGATCTATTTAGTATAATTGATGCATTATTGTCTGATGAAATCTATATTTTGCTATTTCACCTTCAAGTTGTTTTTTTATGTACTTAAACATTTGTAGTGACCACATCCTTGAACCCAGGGTATTACAGGTCAGAACCCTGTCAAAGAAGTGTGCCCACTCTTACAAACCCAAACATACAAACCTAGCATCCACCCAAAACAATACTTTTGTCCCATAAGTTAGCTTATGGTAAGGTTATGGCCATACATGTTTCTTGACTTCCTGTTGATATTTACAGAACACCACTATAACAGTGGGTAATGAGACAGTCATCAGCACCAGTATTCGACACCATCCCGACCTTTACTTCTACAGTCTGGTTTACGGAATGTCAGTTATTCTGGTGTTGGTGGCAATAATTGTAAAAGGTCTGGCCTTTGTCAAGTTCACCCTCCGAGCCTCCTCCAACCTTCACGACAAGGTGTTCAGGTCTGTCTTCCGCAGCCCCATGTCTTTCTTTGACACGACACCAACAGGCAGGATACTCAACCGCTTCTCCAAGGACTTAGACGAAGGTAAAGTTTTACAGATTTCATTGACACAACAAAAGTACAACATTTGTAAGGTCTATAACTAGACATACAGACAGACATGTTGGTCCAAAGAATTTACCTACTTTACATACAAGACTAGATTAATCAACTTATACTAGACTTGTCTAAGGTCTAAACTTTCAAATGAAATTGAATTTATTTAATGTAGCAAATTCCGTTGACCAAGCAGAAATAAGGTTGAACAGCTTTGTGTGTGTTTCATGTTTATAGTGATAAAACCATGAAATACATCACACTGTATATAAGGCCATACCAATTTGATTTGTTGGTTCTCGTATTCGCCTCTTCCCCTCTTCCTTTTTTTCTGATTTGCAAAAAAAAAAGATTCTGGTTCTGAATCAACTCAAATATGCTCATGTTTTGCCCCCAACAGTTGAGGAAAGTCCTTTTCTTCCATCAGTTTTTCCACCTATCAGTCGTTTAAGTAAAAGTTCAAAATTCATTGTTTAGATATTAACCCAGCCTTTTGTGTTGACTCCATGACTCCTTTTGTAGCATTTGGGGCTATAATAGGATTCCTAGACCTGTTTTTATTATTTTTATTTTTTTTGCCCTGTCACTTCATATTTTTTCTGAAAAAAATCCAAGAACCAACAAATTAAATTGGTGGGGCCTAACAATGGTGTGCTTGTTTGAGGCTAGCCTCCTTAGAAATAATCTACAAACATGCAGATGTCACCCAGACTGAGGACTCACTCAGATGGCCAGTTCTAACCATAATCATACTTTTGTAGCCAATCATGAGTTTAATCGTTTGTGTAGTCATACCAAAGACTTTAGAAGACTACATACATACTGCTTTCTTTAGTATTCAGTGCTTGGGAAAGTGTATGGGAGCTGAACACACACCACAGCCTGCAAAATACCTGTTTGCCCAGTTGCCCCAGGCAAATAAATTTTACTTGGGGCAACCTACTTTTGAACCCATGTAGCCCAGTGTGCTACCTGAATTTTAAGAATGCTCCCCCCCCCCACGAAATCATGCCCATTTGGCTTGCACCACTGTATCCGGCAGATGCTTTTTAATTTTAGGTATTAATGGCTATTACTTCTAGTAACAGTTAAGTTACTAAAGGCTGTTAGAAATATTGTCAAGGGCTTATGTATGTAACATTACTTAATTTGAGGGAAGTGGTAACTTAAAGGTGGGGCAACCTAAAATTTTGATGGGCAACCTAATTTTTGCCCACTGGGCAACCTGGTTCAAAAAAGTATTTTGTACAATGCACCACTACCAGTAGACTAGCCCCCTGCTGTAGTGATTGCACAAAGATAGGTCCAAGTTTGATCATGATTGACCCTGCCTGATCTGATCTGTTTCAGTGGATGTGCGCCTCCCATTCCAAGCGGAGATGTTTCTCCAGTACGGCTGTCATCTCTTGTTCTGCATTATTCTGATAGCGTACACTTTCCCATACTTCCTTATCGCCATTCTGCCAATGGTGGGAATTTTCTTGTACATCCGAAGAATTTCTAACAGGTGAGTACTGCAAATTAAGTGACAAGTGTGCATCATTCTGTACATGTTTTACAATTTACATTGAAAATTTTTGTTATTACAGTGTGTTTGTGTGTGTCTGTTCTTCTGCATGACCCCTACATGTTTATGACAGAGGTTGTAATGAATATTGGTTTAGTCTTGCCCAGATGGGCTAAATGCACAAATGTGACCAAATGTGGTCAACAGGATAAAAAAACATGAGTATTGCATTCTGGAACACTATATTCTAATGCTATTAAAGTGCTAGGAGTCTATATATTACAACTAGTATATACTACCTATCATCTACTGTTAGTTGCCCTTTCTTCTCTCTTTTTGAAACATCTGGAAGCATAATTACATACTATTAGTTTGTCTACTGTACATTCATTCTTGCATGACATCAAGTGTTTAAACATCTCCTGCTTCGACATTTTCTCACATAACTTGTCTAATTGTAAAGTATCGAATAGCTCTTGGCGTTCATCTTGTTCATATAATGTACAGTCAAGAAAGTGTATCTCGTTTTCAACATATAAATGAATACAGAATTAATCACGTCTGCATCTGGTAGCACTTACTGTTTCTCTGGTTTATTTTGCTACATGACCTTGACAACTGACAGCTGGTGTTGTTTCCCATGCATGATAAAGAAAAACTTATAGACAGCATATATGGGGACTGTGACCTCATTCATATATGAATGAGGTCACAGTCCCCATCTAAATATTTCAGGAAAGTCTGAGGTCTTGTTTCGTGAACAACAGGACAAAAGTCACTAAATGAATAATGTACTTAATATTACTTCTTTGACAGAAGTATTGATTTGGGTGTTGGCAATTTATGCTTGCCTAGGTATGTATGTTTGGGTTCCAAATTGAGTGGGTTGGGATTGAGTTTCATTTGATTGACATGATTGTTTTTAACCAGTTTGCCCTTGAATCTAAGGTATGAAACATAAACCATGGTGTGATAGCAGAATAGGTTTTCACATACAATTGTCTGTGAATTTATGGCTTTTTGAGTAATAATGTAGCCTGTGTTACACAAGCTCTCGGCCAGAGGTTAATGACCCCCACGGCAGCTTCGGGGTGGCCCGCCGCCAGGAGCGCGATTAGTCAGGCTAAGTAATAATGAAATCTATGATGTACAAAGTACATTGTATATAATCTACTTCTGGAAAGTTTGACATCTATGATGTCTTGTTGTTATTATGTGACCAGTGCCCTGCGTGAACTGAAGAGGTTAGAGAACGTGAGTCGGTCTCCTTGGTTCTGTCATCTGACTGCTACTGTACAGGGTCTGGCAACTATTCATGCTTACAACAAAACAGAGCAGACTGTGGACAGGTGTGTAACAGTTGCATCATGTACTTACAATTAGTCTTTGTGCCTTTATTTGCAATAAAGCCACACCAATTTAATTTCTTGGTTAGCGGATTTTTCTAGAAAAATAATTGAGCGGGCGTGCGAAAAAAAATAAAAAATAAAAACAGGCCTAGGCATCCTATTATGGCCCAAAATGGTACGCTAGAAGCCATGAAGTCAACACACCAGGCTGGTTCAAAATTTAAACAATAAATTTTGAACTTTTAATGACTGCATTGAAATATGAAATAACTGTAACAACTAGGGAGAGAAAAGGACTGTTTTCAACTGTTCAGGGCAAAATATGAGCATTTTGCAGTTGATTCTGATTTTTTATTTTTTTTGCAAATCAGAAAAAAAATGAAGCGGGCAAATCCGTTAACCAAGAAATTAAATTGGTGTGGCCTACACTTATTGTTGAAATATGTTCCGTGATAATGCTAGGTGTTTTCCACAATGTTCTTACTAGCAAAATAAATGTCTTGATTTTCGGTATGTTGTCCATTTTTCCAGGTTTGTTGATCTACTGGATAAGAACTCAGTGATGTTGTTCCTGTTCCGCTGTGCGATGCGCTGGCTGGGCATGAGGCTGGAGCAGGTCACCATCGTGTTAGCGACAGTCACCGCACTGCTGGTCGTCATTACCCATGGTTCCATTTCCCCCGCCCTCGCAGGATTGGCTCTAAGTTCTGTGACACAGGTAAGATGTGTTGCCATGGCAGCAACCAATCACACACTTTGTATTTGCATATCTGGTTTCTGTGACACAGGTAAGATGTGTTGCCATGGCAGCAACCAATCACACACTTTGTATTTGCATATCTGGTTTCTGTGACACAGGTAGGATGTGTTGCCATGGCAGCAACCAATCACACACTTTGTATTTGCATATCTGGTTTTTGTGACACAGGTAAGATGTGTTGCCATGGCAGCAACCAATCACACACTTTGTATTTTGCATATCTGGTTTCTTGCACTGTACTGATGTGTTTGGGCTCATTTCCTAGCCTGACTATTACACAATCTCTTACTGTCAGAGGCTGATTGGGCCTTCTCCCCAAGAGCTTTGTGGCTCTACACTTCTAACTCAAAAGAACCACCATTCCCATTTCCAGAACTACCAATAGTAACTTGGGGTTAATAGTAGCTCACAGTTCCCAGACTGACACCGATCGGTCCATGTTAGCAACTTTTAATAGACCCATTCAGCTTTCACAGATCACATTAACTGCTTACGTCACAGGGGGGACATTTCGAAAGAACATCGTTTTAGAATGCGGCTTGTGCTTGCGGTGTCCCCCCTGACATATAATTTTTTTTACTAAAAGGTAGGTTAGTGTCTATTTTCTCGTTAATATATGCAGAAATGACAGGAAAACAGACACCAACTTTGTATGGTGGCATTCCCTACAACAATTTAAGGTTATTTTGTTCTGTGACGTAAGCAGTTTATGCGATCTGTGAAAGGAACTTTCGAAATGTCTCTCATGTGACGTAATTTCTATTCGAAATGTCCCCCCTGTCCGTGAAAGTCGAATGGGTCTATTATGTATGATTCGGTCAAGATATTTCTTTACAAATGTACAAAATTTTCAATACAAATTATGTGTGTATATGTAAGGGCACGATTTAATTTTATGGATGACATCCACGCGCGAATTGATTTTTGGCTGTTCTAAAAAAAAAAGATCACATCCTCCGAGGCTCTGGCCTGGCTCTAGGCCTGGGTAGCCATAGCCTGGGTACCATCCGGATTTTCGCTATGCAACGCTCGAAAGTACCATCCGGATTTTCGCTACGCAACGCTCGAAAGTACCATCCGGATTTTCGATACGCAACGCTAGAAAAACGTTGCGTAGCGAAAATCCAGATGGTACCCAGGCTAGGGTAGCCGTGGTAGTTAGCGACAATATGGAGTCGGTGGTAACTGTGGAGGACGGCACCCATGCTACCGAAACTCCACAACTCAAGAACTCACTACATATGTACAGTGCTGATTCGTAAATTCCGCAAAAGCCGGCATGTATCGGCTTGTCGTGTACGTCGCTATGTACTGCCGCGATTTCACAATACCAGCTTTCTATTCCTGTGGTTTAGGAGCATTTTTATTTTTGGCCAAAAGTTTTTTATTCGCCCGCCCGCACTAGTCTGGGGTCTTCAGAGGATGTCCTCCATAAAATTAAGTCGGTGTGGCCTAACCAATTTATGCAGTAGACTGACTTTGAACTGTGTCCTCTCAGATGACGGGTGTGTTCCAGTACGCAGTCCGTCTCAGTTCAGAAACAGAGGCTCGCTTTACGTCAGTGGAGAGAATTAAAAGCTACATCAAGGTTTGTTGTTACATTTATTGCTGATTCTAAAGTTTGGTTTCAATTTATATTCTAAACCCTTAAAGCATGACTCTATTTGACCGTGTGGCAAGGTTATAAGCCGGTTAGGAGATGAGATGACATGATTTTCTTCACTGATGGTGTAAAGTAGGTACCTAAATTCAGTTGGAAAGATAATAAAGTGGCGATTGATTAAAACACGCCTCGGAGACGTGATTCTCTTTTAAGTGATGATCATGGTGTCTGTTTTTGTTATTGTTGATGGAGGTGCTTGTTTATGTATGTGAGCCAGTCATACATAAGTTTCTCACGAGGATTTGATAATAAACATGCTCTTAGCTTGAGAGATAAGGCTATGCTAGCATTTCCTCATAACTTATGCAAATTAGGACATGATTTGAATAAATTGTGTTTAGTGATGTTCACCTTCACTGAACTTCAGATGTGGCAAGTACATGTGTACTAAATTCCCAGCAATACCACTACAAAATTGTATAGAATTGTAAAATTCCCAATAATTATGCAAATTAGGTCTCCTTTAACATAATCAATGTCTGCCAAAGATCTTGTCATTCTCAATTACATAATTTTATGTCCCAAGTGTTTCAGCAGATTTATACAATTTCTTCATTAATTATGCAAATTAGATTCTGATTTGAATAATTGTAATTCAATTATGTCAAGCATCACTTAATCGCAGTACTACATGTATACCTACGGCTCTGACCCTGAGGCATCACCAAAAACTGGTGGAAGGAGAAGGATGGGCTCCACCTTCCAATACCGTGTCCTAGACATGGTGTATTGACAATCCTTCTGTCCCTTTGGGGTCAAAAAGGCCACTGGACTCCTCACCTCACCTCACCGGTCCCATAGCAGTCTGTCCTGCCGTCGGGGCAACTAAACTGTCCACAAGAGTTATCCACCCAGGGCGGTTCTCAGCCAGACTTGTCAGGTGACTCAGGGGATGTCCTGTCCATTCCTTCAGGTCACTAGTCCAGGTCCTTCGAGGGCGCCCCCTCAGTCGTCCACCCTCCGCCTTCCCTTGCAGTGTAGTGTGAGCTAAGGTGCCCTTCGCTCTGGTTACGTGTCCAAACCACTGCAGCTTCCTCTTCTTTACCAGTGACAGGAAACTGGGGAGAGGGCCTGCCAGTGACTTGACTCGCTGCTTAACTTCTTCGTTTGTGGTGTGTGTAGACCAGTGTATCTGAAGTAATCTCCGGTAGCAGTTCATCTCGAAGGCATTGGACTACCTTACCATTATTGCAGCTAAAAAGTACTTATTTCGCTTTTTCAGGGTCTTGAATCTGAGGCACCTCTTACTATCAAGAAGACAACACCGTCCAAGTCTTGGCCAGTTGAAGGCAGAATACAATTCCAGAAGTACAACATGCGTTACCGGGAGGGTCTGCCCTTGGTGCTGAAAGATGTCAGCTTCTCCACAAAACCTTCAGAAAAGGTTGGCATCGTGGGAAGAACAGGATCAGGTACATTCCTCTTTAATTATGAACTTACTGTGTTTTTGCCATGATCACAGTAGCATTACACCTAGCGATTGTTGCCCTGATGGTCACCAAAACACAGGATGTGAAACCCCTGGCTCCTTATGCACTGACCAGTGTCATTTTGCAAAATCAGCAAACTTTAAGTTAATTTCCTTTAATTGTATCCTTCAATTTGGTGACTTTTTATAGGTAAACATAACATATAACTAGAAAGGCCGACATTTGCTTGGGAGCAAATACAGCATATTTCAGTCCACCACCCTTCCACGCAAAAGTGGACTATTCCAAACTTACCCCAGTGCAAAACATATAAAAATGGACATATCGGGGGGCATGGAATAGCTGATTGGCTACCACCCACTGCCTCAAGGACTCAAGAAGGCTGTGTAAATTATCTACATTATCTTGGGGCAAATACTGGTAAATTTTTCCAATTAACAATTTGTTTTAAAGGAAAGTCATCTCTAGGAGTGTCCCTGTTCCGATTGGTTGAAGCAGCATCAGGCTCCATCAGTATTGATGACGTCAACATTTCCACTATCGGCCTGGAGGACCTGCGCAGCAAGCTGTCAATCATCCCACAGGACCCTGTCTTATTCGTGGGAACTGTCAGGTGGGCGTGGCCAGTTATCTGTTTATTTTTTACATGTTTTTAGCTTTTTTATCAAGCTTTTTTTTTATTGTACTGGTATTTTTTTTCGCCAGCCAAACTTTGGGTGGCATATCGGATGCTGTCTTGCCTATTTGAGTCTTGTATAGCCACCAAATGATCTGCTAAGAGATTAACAAAACATAACAAAGTAACTACCTACATGACAAATAAGTATTTAATATGACTTTCGGATTGTGTTTCTTTGATAATATGACAATATGTACATCTTCAAAGTCTGCAAAACTGTGTGTTACTAAATGTGCTTTAAATTTATCAGGTATAACCTGGATCCATTCATGGAGTACAGTGATGAACAGATCTGGAGTGCTCTGGAGAGAACGCATATGAGTGAAAGTGTAAGTTGTTGAATGAATTGTGGATGGATGCCGAAATTTTCTCCAATATTACCTAAAAGCTCTGTTACTTCATGTCTGTTCTCAGATATAGGTCATAACAGAAAATCAGATTTCAAACAGAATTACATTGAGAGAATTACATCATAGAATGCATAATTACTCAATTGGCATATGATTGTATTGTGAAACTTGCTTCGCTTTTACACAATGGTATGTATAATGTTTCATACATTCCTGACACATCTTTGAACCCATGGCATGTCAGGTCAAACCCTGTCAGTCAAGTGGAGCCTACTCTCCACCCACTCACTTTGTCTTTGGAACCCAAACATAAACCTAGCATAAAGTAAGCACCACCCAAAACAATACTTCCATCCCAGAATTAACAAGTGAACCATACCTGATTTGCATTTAGATGTATAGTTACAAGACAGTCATTGATAATATGGTAATAGATTCCCTTGATTTTTGTTGGTGATTTTTCATTTTGGAATTTCTTGACTCTTGCTGCTGTAGATCTCCGGCCTACAGCTGCAGCTGGAGGCACCTGTTGTGGAAAACGGAGACAACTTCTCAGTGGGAGAGAGACAGCTGCTGTGTATGGCCAGGGCACTGCTCAGACATAGCAAGGTCAGACAGATAAAGCACAAATACTTAGTCTATTAAAGCACAAAAACAAAACTTAATTAAAGATTTCAATTATTTGTGAACAGGACCTTTTATTTTAGTGCAGTAATAATGTACTAAATACACCTGGTAAGATAAACTGTCATGAATGCGTTCATGTATGGCAATGTACCATTGTTTTGTCTCTGTCTGTATGGATAAAACTTTATTGGGCAGTGACTGTGAGTCAGAGTGTGTGAGGGGAGTTCATAGAACATTTGATACATCTACATCATCATCATTATAACATGGCATTGTACAAATGTAGGCACAGTAGTGTTGCTGAAAGCTAGCGCTAGCAGCTGTAGGGAAATTATAGAGCCTGTCAAGTTAAACATGCATTTTGAAGACACAGTTATGTATCCATGTCACCAATCACTAAAAGCTTTTCAATTTGATTTGGCCTGACAGGTAAAGTTTATAAAGCATCATTTTAGTGAGAATAATCGGTGGTAAAGCCATAATACCTCAGATGCAGTACACAGCTAGAGGTCTTTGATATGATGCTGTGCATGTACACATTCTGATCAAACTACACTTGTGCATTGTATAGATCCTGATGTTAGATGAGGCGACAGCAGCCATTGACCCAGAGACAGACAACCTGATCCAGACAACTATCCGGGAGGCCTTCAGTGACTGCACCATGCTGACCATCGCACACAGACTCAACACTGTACTGACCTGTGACAGGATACTGGTCATGGAGGATGGGGAGGTCAGGAGGGAATTTTTATACATATTGTCATAACATGTTTGTCCATAGATATGACATGGCACATTTATACGCTAAGAATGTTGGCATTAATGGTGATTTTTTTAGCATTCTTGTAGGGATATGGACATTTTGGAATACCTTCTTTTTGTATCAATTTATAAGTCTTACAGTAACTTAGAAATGTGCATTCTTGATCATGAATTGGGGAAAGTTTTTGTTAATTTGTCTGCTTAGTGTTCCCTCCATACTAAATGTAGTACTGATAGTGTGACTAATAATAACAGCCCTTATTGTGTAATAACTACTGTAAGGAAATATTGTATGAAATACATGAAATTCTAAATTATCATGACATTGTTAACAATTTCGTTAAACATTTTTTTTTGTTTCTTTTAAATTGTTGATTCATATGCGCTAGACAATTAGTTGACAAACTACTGCTATAATGTTACTATTATGCTGCACATTTGATGATTTCCTAAAATGTAGATGCTACAATGTAACTGTAAGTTAGGCCACACCAATTTAATTTGTTGGTTCTTGGATTCGCCTCTTCGTTTTTTTCTGATTTGCAAAAAAAAAAAAAAATATGATTCTGGTTCTGAATCAACTGAAAAATGCTCAATGTTTTGCCCTCAACAGTTGAGGAAAGTCCTTTTCTTCCTAGTTGTTACAGTTTTCCCATCTATCATTGCAGTGGTTTGATTAAAAGTTCAAAATTCAATGTTTAAATTTTAACCCAGCCTTTTGTGTTGACTTCATGGCTCATTTCGTAGCATTTAAGCCTATAATAGGATGCCTAGACCTGTTTTTATTTTTATTTTTGTTCGCCCTGTCGCTTCATAGTTTTTCTGAAAAAATCCGAGAACCAACAAATTAAATTGGTGTGGCCTTATTACATGTATTTTATTATTATTTCCAGGTGGTGGAATTTGACTCCCCCAGCTCACTGCTTGCAGATCCAAACTCCACCTTCACAGCCATGATGTCAGCTTCTAGCCTCAGTGACCAGCAGCATTCGATATAATAGTAGGTGTTAATTTAAAACCTTATAAAGCTCATGATCATATTTACATGTAGATACAATGTCATGTACATTACATTATGTCACAACTGTTACTGTAACAGTGTTCTTTTATTGTTGCTGCCCAGGTCTGTTTCAGGTAAGAGATTTCACCTAATAATATGTTTAACTTAACTTAAGTATGTGACCAGGATTTAAATGTGTTTATTATATTGATGATTTAAATTTACCATTGAGTACATGAACAATGGGGCAGGGGGTGGCGAAAGCAGATCAGATTGCCCTAACTTTGTCTCCCCACAATCTCCCACTTTTTGTTCAAATATTTGCTAATGCAGATTGCTTGTCCCAATAGACCTACAAACATTTACAGTGAAACTGTAGAAGAGAGCTAACTTTTTTAATTTTCAAACACAGTTTTAACAGAATCTTGAATGTACAAAATGTAGGTATCACAGTGATCAGAAGTGGCAAGCCTTTAGATGTACATAGCAATTCCTTTGGTGCATTTGTACAGAAAATACAAAAACTGTACATGTCTTTTTAAAACGAGACAATTGTTTCATTAAACCAGAATAATTGGACAGTAATGTATATAATAGAATGTATGGAAAGGGAATTATTTGACCTGAGACAAGAATTATTTCAGAAACAGTCTGAATAAATACGTAATACATTTTGAATTAATGTCATTGAATACTTCTGTGTGTGAGAGTTTGCAAAGCTGAGGAAACCATCTTCCACAAATTATTGGAAAATTTAAACAAGAAGCCATAGGTGACAATCCTCCGTGAAGTTTTATATATTTCAACAAAAACAATCCCAAGCGTCAACGCCAGACCTACTGTGCAGACATTATAATCAGGCAATGGTTAATACAATGATGGCGCGTCACAAGCATATAACATAAAAAGACCTAAATCCATCACTGCTCTCAGGGCGTGTAAAGATACAGTAACTGTGCTTCAATTTCGAAGTTCATTTTAATTACACACACACAATCATTGGCATAAATGCATTCACATAAAGATCGGACTATCATGGTCGTGTCACTATTAAGAGGGTCTGCATGGTGGGGGGGGGGGTCCTGGCAACGGTTAACGGTAAATTCAGCAGGGCCGATAACGCTTAACGGTAAATTCAGGACGGCCGGCAACGCTTAACGGTAAATTGACGGCCTTTTTTTCGAGCTGCACTGGATTTGGTATCTCGCTTTGTGAGAAAAGGTGATCACTGACAAAATTACGTATACCTTACAAATGTACATGTAATGAAGCATGCATTAAAGGTATGTGTTCCCTGTGTTTCCCACCTGCCCTGGTCCCCGAGTGCGTCCACATTACCGGGGTGTCCGAGTTGACTTCGGCCAGCTTGCATTTTTTCAGTCTGCCCAGTTTTACCGATGGATTTTGAGAATGCTCCCCCGGGAAATTTAGGATTTTTAAGCCTTCAAAAACGCAATTTCCCGCATTTTTCATATTTTACTCGAGATTTTTGTTAATTTGCCTGTCAAGGTTGACGGATTCGTTAAAAAAATTCTGTAACTCTCCGCAAACTTCCGGAAATTGAAGGGTAAGCTGGTTCTGGCTAGAGCCGAAGGGACCGAGCGCAGAAGCGCGAGTCGAGCGCCAAAGGCGCGAGCAATGTAGGGGGGGTCCGGGGGCATTCTCCCCCGGGAAATTTTGTATTTTTAAACCTTCAATGACGCATTTTCCTGCACTTTGATAGGCAAAAATTAGGCGTAACGAAGAATTATTCATTAATAATTCATTGCTTA